AATTTGATAAACATCTATATAATAATTAAACTAAACCAAATTTTTAGTTCATTTAAAGTCAATGATTTCTATTTATGATATCTACTCTACCTTTTACACTTTTGTATATATTAGTATTTTCAACTATTTTTTGTAATTGATCATCAGTAAAAAACAATTGGAAAAGTGAAAGTGGAGTAATGATTCCTAGTTGATATTCATGGAGAATTGTTGCATATCCTTTGTGAAGTGGTCATAAGTTTCGTATCAGATTAAATATAGGTGATTTTAATACGTATTATTATTTATGCTACTAACTTGTATATTACTGATAGTTTTTTTTCTTTACTCTTTATACTTCCTTTACCCCTACCTCTGTCTCTACCCCTGTCTCTACCTCTACTCCTGCCCCTACCTCTACCCTTTCTTTACTATTTTCTACATCCAACTCTTCATTTGTATGATCTGATCTAGCAAGTTCTTGCTCTTCATTGTTAACTTCTACAAGTTCATAATTAATTATTACCTCACTATGATAATTATATTCAAAAATAATTGAGTATTGCGGATCAGAGTCCTCATTGTCAAGTAGCATAACATTATCAAGAGATATGAATAATTTTTTTTAGAAAAAAAAAACTGAAGCAAATATCTTTCACATAATAGTACAGAAAGTTAAGAGATAGATAGCTGTTGTAATGACTTAATAAAGTGTTGTCAAAAAAAAAATTAAGAATAAAAAAGGTTATCTAGTAATTTAGTTAAAAAAAAAAAGAATATATCAAGTAGTTCGATTAAAAAAAAAAAATGTAGTGGTTTAAAAAAAAAAGAATATAGCAGTTTAAAAAAAGGTGATAACTGGTATAAGGTAAAGAAAAATAATCTGTTAATTATCTCAATCCATCACAAAACACATACATCATTTGTTTACAACCACTAGCAGATAAGAATAGTCAAACTACAGTATTTATTCTTAAAGCAAAATGGTCATTAACATTATTTTTATCGATTTTCAGCTTTTATTTTTATATTTATTTATATAATGCATTAGCAATTTAGCAACATCCAAAAGAGAAACAAACAAATGTATACACATATATATTCAAGTTATTTTAATAGTATATTTACTCTCAACATGCTGATATTTAATCATATTTAATGCCATATATTGGGTACTAATAACTTAAAATGGGCATATATATATAAAGAAAGAAGCAAAGGTCAAATACATATCTTTTCTCTTGTTCTAGTGATATGAGATTAATAAAAGGAAGATACAACAGTATTGTTTTATATAAATACGTATGCATTATCATTATTGTTATTTATTATCTACAATTATAAGTACATATGTACTATATATATGTACGTATCTGTGTGCAGAAACTTTGATTTTTGGATCAACAATCTTTAACATTTACATTAACTTTTTTTAAATTAATCATGTAACTGTTTTCTAGACAAATTTGCCTGAAACCTGACCAATCATTTTTTGGTAAAATTTTCAGGCAAATTTGACTGAAAAACAGTTATACAATTAATTTGAAAAAAGTTGATGTAAATATTAAAGATCGTTGATTTAAAAATTCTGTAACGCCAAATCATACTAAAGAAATGCTTCAAACTAATAGAAATTTTATTGTAGAACAATTAATCAGATTCTTCTAGTTTTGAAAAATTATATATTAGAAGACTATTACTTAGTATGATTTGGAGTTACAGAAGATACATATTTAGTATACAGAAACTTTAATTTTTTGAATCATCAATCTTTAATATTTATGTCAACTTTTTTAAATTAATTGTGTGACTGTTTTCTAGGCAAATTTGTCTAGAAATTTTATTGTAAAATGATTGGCCAGGTTTTTCTGGTTTTAAAAAATTATAGATTAGGGGGCTTTACTTAGTATAATTTGATGTTACAGAAATATTTATAAAATAATTTAAAAATTCTAGGCAAATTTATCTGAAAAACAGTTTAAAGGATACTATACAATGACATATATTAATCAAGAGGAAGTTGAATGCTTAAATGAAGTAAGTATATAATAGATTTTATATTTGAGTACTGTTAAGAGAATTTTGCAAATCTTATCTAATAAGATTTGTGGATTTTCTTTTGGCAGCACTCATTTATTGTTATATATTTTAGATTGTATTTTTCAAGTTATAGATAATAAATCTAAATTTATAATAATAGAAAGATAAAAATATATTGTTAAATCAAATATTAACAGTTGATCTTCTACAAACAACTTTAAAATAAATGATCAAATTTGTTGGGTATCATAATATTATAGATATATAGGCAGTTAGTATTAAGAATTCATCACAAGTTAAATACTATATTCTGCTACTAAAAAATCGTAAATATATTTGTTTATATCTTTCAATCGTATATTCTGGAATTATATATAGATACTATTTTCAAACAATACTAACTACAAAAACAACTCAGTTTTATATTTAGCTTATACCACCACAATGATATTTTATTGAACAAGATAGATTAGAAGAATCTTTTTTAATTGCTAATAAGTTGGTACAAGAGATTGAAATAATAATAACAAATAATAATAATCCAATACTATATCTAAGTATTTTTGATCAAGATGAAGCAAATTTTTATAAAAAAAATTTAACAATCCTTGAACAAAAAATTGTATATAGAAAGTTGTATAGAATGTACAAAAAAGCACTTAATAAAGTATTGTATAATTATTTTAAATCACAATAGCTTATTCAACTATTAGAGGAATTTGTTAAGGAAGTAGATAGTAATAATCTATCTGATTCTGATGAAAGCTTACAAAATGATAGTACTAGTGATAAAGAAAACCATAATTCTGCAATAGCAATTCAAATACAAAATCTAAATAAACGTCAAGGCAAAGGCCAACTACCAAGTACCAAAAGACTCAAATCTTCTCATAAAAATTCTAAACCTGTAGTGAAAAATAAGTGACGATATAAAAAATGTGGAAATGTTGGTCACTATCAGAAAAATTGTAAAGTATAAATAAAAGTAATGCGTATATAACTACAATCAGAATAGCTAATGTTAGTATTTGCTTCAAACTTATTTGTATTTAATTGTTTTTATTAAGTATCATTAAATAGCATATTGAAATCAAATATTTCATAAATTATTAGCACCAATATATAGTGCAGGAAATTTACGCTTTGTAATATATACTTTTAAATTTAGTGTTGCTATTAGCGCATTATTTATATACAATTTAAAGATTCTAGATTTTCTGTACTTTTTTGTAGCTAATAATTCAGGAAATATTTATCTTTAATGCATTAAGTTTTATAGAGATTAAGGTTTGTGCAATATTATATATAGCATATTAGTGTGATAAATTTGATAATAGGCAACATATATATATATTACGAGTTAAATAGATTTTTAGATCAAGTTAAACTTGATCTAGGTTAAATTGATCTTTAGTAAAATTTTAAAGTTAGGGTGGGCTAGAATTATATTGATGCCAGACAGGGTTTTTTAGTTAACCAATTTGATTCGAGTCAAGTTTAACTTGATATAATAACCAATTTAATCTATAACATATATATATTATCTTGAAGTTAGCATCTGCTTGAAGTTGTAACTTCAAGTACTTGAAGTTAAATCTGTCTAACTTTACTAATATATTTAAAAAGAAACTAATTTCAGGTTAGTGCAACTTCAATTGCTTGAAGTTGCAGCTTCAAGCAGCTTCTATGTATATATATTCATATATATATGAATATATGGTTAACTACAGCTTATAAGTTTGTAAATACACTGTTTTGGCTATTAGGGTCGAGACAATATGATTATAATTTTGTGTATTAGAGTATGTTTTGTATACATTGTATATATGCAAGTATTGATACTAGTGCATAATATAACAAATAATTATTAACTATATAAATTAATTAGTTCATACTTATTTATTACTTCTGATAATTAGTCACATTCTAGTAGTAAATAGAAGGGATCATCTATCCCTTAGATTGTAGTAGAATACAGGCAAATTTGCCTGCGTTTTTACACTTTTTTAGCTCTGATTTACTTTTT